ATCATTAAAATGACAAATACGGCACGAATACCCAGAGTTATAGTAATTGAATATCCTTGTTTTTTAATTAATATCTTTGTATTAATAAAATACATATTTAGAAATCCATAAGATAACTTATATAGTTATGGACTACTATTATATTTATGAGTAGCGCATAGAATCTATGTCATAGATAAATATCATACTCGGTGTTAATCTAACGGTAAAATTAGGTGTCGTTTAGTGCAAGTAAATATTCCTCAATCAATGCCAGTCATAAATATTCATAATCATACTTAATATAATAAATCCATAGTACCAAAAAAGTCTTGCTCAATTCTAACACATACGAGTCTAAACCTTTTTGTCAAACTTTTAAATTATATTAAATTATTTTATTGAATCTTTTGAGACCCTTTATGACAATTTAATTAAATATTCAACTGGAATCTATACGATAATTGTAAACCAATTACAGTATAAATTATTTAAAAGAATTTCTTACTTCATAGAATAATAATAGTTTATTGACTATGAAAAAAAGTTAAACAATTAAATTTTTAAAGTTAATTATAATGTTAGTTAGTTAATTATAGGTTAATGCAATGTATATATATAGAATAAACTCTTTAAAAAATTGTTTATAACTTTATTTTATTGTAACTAACTATTTACAAGATTTATTACAATATGACAAACTTAGATGAATGTAGTGTAATTCGTAATAAATTTTAATAAAGTAAATAATTACTAGAATATGGTTTCATTATTAGCTGTCATTTGTATAAATAATTTTAAGATTATGAATATTAAAGCTGATAGTTTATTATATCAGTGTGATTTATAAATAACAGTAATGATAAAAGAATTAGAGATAACCAATAGATATACTTATTAATAAATTATAATTTTATACCACTTTGAACATCCATTGAATCGGGGATTACAAACAAAATTGCGAAATAATTTCTAAATTAATGTTATATAAAAACAATTATTTTTTATACAAACCAATGGATTTTGAATAAATAAATTCATTCTTCCAGCGATCAAAGTATGTATAAAATACTGACTCTCTGTCTGGGTGTTAGTCTATGTTTGGCTGAGCCGTTAAACCTACCGGTGCGCCGGCATAAGGGAAGGATCCCATCGTACGCTAATATAGTGAAAAACCACACGCAATGGATCGTTGGTGGGGGCGATGCAGTGCCCGGTGCTAATCCACACCAGTGTTCGCTTCAAAGGACGTCTCACTCTTGCGGCGCCTCCATTATCAGCACTAATTGGGCCGTAACTGCTGCCCATTGTATTGACGGGTAATAGTTTTATCATAATAAGTTGTTCATTTGACCATGCTTCATTTAAATTATGAGTCAAAAAACTAATCAATTGTTTGTAAAATCTAATGTTTAAATGAAATGCGTGTTTAGCGCGAGTCCCACATCACTGAAGCTCCGGTGCGGCACTGAATATCACGCGACGCCTGGCATTGACTACACGTTAGCCGAAGTGATAGCCCACCCCTCATACAGCAGTTGGTCTCTGGACTACGACTTGGGTCTCATTCGCATATCCGGCTCATTCAGTCTGGGCTCCAACAACATCAATGCCATCGCACTGCCCGCACAGGACGAACAACTGGCCGCCGGTTCCACTGTGACGGTCACCGGTTGGGGCGCTCTCACAGAAGGTGGGTATTTGCCGGCCGTGTTGCAGACACTGGATGTGCCGGTGGTGGCCAACGACGTCTGTTCCACCAAATACAGCGGATTTAATGACGTGACGGACCGTATGTTCTGCGCCGGAGTCGATGCCGGAGGAAAGGACTCGTGTCAGGTATGGCTCGCTATGCCTTCGATCTATTATTTCATTATTTCATTCACTACAACAAGAGTCATGTTTCCCACGATAGCCATCATTCAGAAATCTATATCCAGTTTATCCTTAAACATTCAACTAAATAACTCGTACTAATTGAGCAGTTATCATTTTAAAAAGTTTTATTAACATTATATTTAATACTCCAATACTTCGGTCCTAATCACAGTCCAAATCAGGTGTTAAAACAATTTCAAAAGTTCATTGATTATTTACTAAATTACTAAATATACCGTAAATAACTACAATGTATTGAATAATTTTTATGTAATAATCGATTGAGTGTTCAGGGTGATTCTGGAGGACCAGTCACACAAAATGGTAAACTGGTTGGCGCTGTTTCCTGGGGCTATGGATGTGCGCGGCCTGACTATCCCGGAGTCTATACACGTGTGGCATCTCTAAGGAATTGGATTACAGAACAGACTTCCGTCTAAATATGACATACAAATAGTTCCCTATAATATGCTTTCCAATAGACTCCTATTACTTCTGCCCCCTTAATTAAATATTTTAAATACCTGTTTATAATAGTATATTGTGGTGTCTGCATATAATTTATGTCAAAAACATAATATTTATATTAAATAATATTTGATAATAGTATTTTGATTAATAAAAATAATTCATATAAGAAATTAAATATTAATATCTAATTTAACCAAGCTGGATGAATCTTAATATATAGTATAGTATTTTAAACAATAAAAAATTCAGTCAAATTAATTGCAACTTGCAACTCACGATGTTTTAGATACATTAATTTAAAATAATATAATTATTTAGAGTTTGAGGGTCTAGAGTCGGGAATTGCAATGTGGAAAATTGGCAATACAATATTTGGCACTCATTATACTATTAACACAAATATTTAACTTTGATTTTTATAATATTACGGAATCACAGAATCTATTTACTAATTAATAATAATAATTTCGCTAAAAATAATTATTAAGAGTTACTGTATTTAAATCTTAGAAAAATTATTGACAATAAAACTGAATGTTTTAATCTCTTAATGATCAATATTAAGTTATTTGATTAGGCGTGATTCACAAAGTACATACGCACGCCTAGGGGGGAGGGGGAGTCATGCCAAAGCGTATGTCCCCATGTTAAACTCCTATGTACGATAGGCGTGTAGGGGGGAGGGGGGGGTCAATTTTTGACCAAAATTTTGCGTATGTACTTTGTGAATGACGCCTTATGATACAGTATAAGTAAAATGTTGTGCTTTTAAGACAGGTGTTATTTTTCATGACACAAATTGAGTTAATTATATATATTGTGTACAATTGTGAATATAACACATTGTAAGACAAAATTAATTAAAATGAATTTCATGAATAATATTGTAGTGATGATCACTTCATTTATATTGCAAACAGTTGTGGTGTTAGCCGTCAATGAGGACGAGATACAAGAGCTGCCCGGCCTCTACCAACGCACACCATATAAGCAATATTCTGGTCATTTAAATGCATCAAAAGGCAGACATCACTTCTACTGGCTATTCGAGAGTCAGACCAACCCGGAGACGGCGCCTGTAGTGTTGTGGTTGAATGGAGGGCCGGGTTGTAGTTCACTGATCGGTCTGTTCACAGAGAACGGGCCCTTCAAAGCGGACTCTGAGGGCAAGAATCTGACCTTAAATAAGAACACTTGGAATTCTGTGGCAAATGTTATATATATGGAATCCCCGGCCGGAGTGGGATTCAGTTATGTGGACTCCGGTGTCAATCCCAATAATACGGACGAGTCGACCGCTCGCGACAATTACATAGCTCTCCAAAGCTTCTTCCAAAAGTATCCCAAACTGAAGGCCAACCCGTTTTATATAACTGGAGAAAGTTATGCCGGAGTTTATATACCAATGTTAGCCAAACTTATATTTGACGACAAGTCAGACATTAATCTCAAAGGTATACCATTTGCTCGTTTTCCTATGACAATCAATTAATACATTTTTGTTTGTAATTATTTTTTCTATCATTTATTAAATCATAGCTTATAACTTATAAGATAATAATATTAATGATAACTACTGTAGGAATTTCATTTTGAAAAAAGTATTATATGTTTAATACAATGCAGTATAATAATATGAATTATGTATATATATATTATATTATTTGATTGATAAGGTGTTGCTATTGGAAATGGTCTTTTGGACAGTCAGTATCTAATGGACAGTCAGAATGACTTTGCCTTTGCTCATGGATTAATGTCAACTGAAAATTATAAGAACTTAATCGCAAATTGTTGTACTTTAAAGGCAGGACAACCATTAAAGTGTGATTATAGACAAAATAGCACGTAAGCTAATTAAGACATCAAGTATAAGATACATGAGCTCATTCACTATCCCTTTAACTAGTAAATGTCTTGAATATCAACGGGAATACATGTTTCCAACAAATCTATATAACATTTACGACGACTGTCCACCACTTAACGCTTACTATCAAACAATAACAGAAACTAATAGAAAACTATTTGGTGAGAGGTTTGCCAATACTTTGGACAAACAGTTGACAAACAATGATAAAAGCGATTCCCAAGCTGTCAATTGTATCGCTGAAAACTACACCTCATATCTAAATAGGGCTGAAGTACGCAAAGCATTGCATATTCCCGATCAGTTAAAAGGTGTGAAATGGACGGACTGTGGGGACGCCCACTATGAGGGAGAAGGTCTGTCACAAAAGGACAATATATTGCAATTGATTGAGAAGTATAAGTTACAAAAGACAGTCGTATACAATGGAGACTTTGACGCCCAGTGCGACTTCATAGCTGACCACCGGTTTGTGGACGACTTGGGCCTCAAAGTGAGCGAACAGCTCAGGTATTGCTCGTTCTCTTTGTACATGTATTTTATTTGCCACTTAATGTCATTTCAAATACAATTGTCACACTTGAATGCAGGCAATGGAAAGTGAATGGAGGGGCGATCGGAGGTACTGTTAAGCGATACGCGGGTGGTGTGAGTGCAGTGGTGGTGAGGGGTGCCGGACATATGGTGCCCACCGATAAACCCGAAGCCGCACTCGCTATCATCAAGGATTTGATTGGTGTCCAACAGATATAACAAATTCACATTTGCTGTATAGTACTGTTATCATTTATAACTTATAAACAAATAAAACTAATAAAAGTTATACACTTGCCTATCATATAATCCAGTCATTGTCAAGGGGGGGGGAAGGAATAGACATTCATATGCGTGATTCAGATTAGTACGTAGAAAGAGAGGAAGGTGTGGGGAATGACCAAGTTGTAATTTGGAAGTCTTACAATATTACAGGCGACTCTGATGTATTATGGCTGTATACAAATGGCCCCTAATGTAAACAAAACTAAACAATGACTTGTTGATCGCCCAGGTTTTCCTTAAAAAGGCAGCCATAATTTCATGTTTGAACTTAAGGATTTTCTTATTAAATATGAAAGTACTTTCAAAGAGGAGTTCGAATATCTTATATATATTGTCCTGTGACTTCGGGTTCGGCCACAGTGACCACTTTTATCGGGAAATGTTTCTGTTATAAATAGGTTCATGTTACATATCAATTCAATAGGGATTTTAATAGAGAATACAATGATATAAGTACAAAATTTATAAACTTGAGTATTAATGAAAATAATGCCAAATTAGTGACGAAAAATGTTAAAAACCACAATATTTCTTGTAAGTCTTAGGATTTCTAAATTTTTATTTAAACTATCATATTTAGTGTAAAATTCTCTACCAAATCGATATATCACATATATTACATGTCTATATTTACATCGGAAACATTTCCAGATAAATGTGGTCACTCCGGCTGAACCCGAGGTTACATGACAATATAAATAAGATATTTGAACTCTTATTTGAGTGTACTTTCATATTTAATAAGAAAATCCTTAAAGTCCAATCATTAAATTATGGCTGCCTGTGTAAAACAAACCTGGGCGATCTACTAGTCATTGTTTACTTAGCATACGTTTCGTTTACATTATTTGGTCCATCTATATACAGCCGTAATATTTCAGCATAGCCCGTAATATCACTTTCAAGTTGTAATTAAATATTATTTTAATTTATGAACAACTATTGATTGCAACACTAATTAATACATAAGCGTTGTCATCATTAGCTGCCGTTCTCACCACAACTACAAGTGCTTGCATACAAATATATATATTTATTCTTTCATATTCAATATTACGTACTGATCTGAATGACGCCAATAAATGGCTATTGCTTCCCCCACTTGAAAAAGCCTGATATAATCTAACATATAATTTTTAAGGATCAATTTTTTGTCAAAATAGTCCAAATGTTTTATATTTTATATTTTTATATTCATTTCTATATTGAGTCCAAAATAACTTGAATATTAAACATCAATTACTAACTTTATGTTAAGAAACAACAATTTCTATTCGTTTCTTGATTAAAAATTGTTTAAAAAAATCTAATATGAAAATGTTATACGTAGGCAAATTATATACCATATTAATAAAATTATTTGCATGCATTATCCTTTTATTTTTTTTGTTAAATGAACTGTTTTAAATTAATACATAGTTTTAAATAATTAACCAAAATGGCTCATATCCAGCGGTTACGATGTATCAATATATTAATATTTGAGGGTCCGTATGCATTAATAGCGGATAGCATGTTTGCAAATCTATATATTATGGTACCACATATTCGTATAGTTAATAAAAGTATCAAATTCAAAATATGTACATCTATGACCTGTCAAACTGGTCTTATCAGTGGCTAATAGCCAATGGTCAGTGAGAATACCTACTGATAAGACCAGTTTGACAGGTCATAGATTACATATGTTTATTTGACCTTTTATCGACTATATTACTACTCACAAGTGAGAAACGTTTGTATAGCATAGCATTAGTTACCTTTATATTTAAACAAAATAAAATGCTATCCGCTATTAATGCATAAGGACCCTCATTTATTTTTTAATGAATACTTATGTATTTATTTATTTATTCAAAACAATGTGTTAACATTAAATATCATTCATGACTAAAATGTAATTGTGTTGTTTCTGTTATGGCAAACATTATCCATAGACTCATACGATTGGCTACTCTAGTTATCTATTTATATAATATACATATATAAAATGATACAAATCAATAATTATGAACTAATTCAACGTAATTGCTATCATTCAAACAATAGCAAGTCTTGTTTCCATAGTTTTGGCAATTTTAAAATCACTCAAAATACTTAGAAAAATACATGAATATTGTAATGTATCTATAATTGTTAATAATCTTTAAAATACTTTTTTATTGTCTTTATACTAAATAAATAATATTTCTTATTAACTATTAATTGCATAATTAAACAGTAATACACTATTGTATTAGTGAATACATACACAATATTTATAAGAAATATATGAAATAATT